TTTGAGAAAGGGGCACCCCTTGAACAATTTACTACAAGAGCGTGCAATTGTTGGCGTATGCCGATGACATCGACATAATCGGCAACAAAAACCACGAAGTCTGTTCTGCCTTCTCCAAGTTGGATAAGGTAGCAAAGCGAATGGGTCTGGTGGTAAACGAGGACAAGACGAAGTATCTCCTATCATCAATCAAACAGTCCCCGCATTCTCGGCTTGGAACCCACGTCAGTGCTTCGAGAATTTCGAGAATGTGGAGAACGTCGTTTACTTGGATACCAGCATTAACACCGATAATAATGTCAGCCTTGAAATCCAAAGTAGAATCACTCTTGCCAAAAAGTGCTATTTTGGACTGAGTAGGCAATTGAGGAGTAAAGTCGTCTCCCTTCCGTCAGTGATAGATCCAGCGAAGGGTTTTGGGTTGTTTTAACACCCCCTCCCGTGGGTCCGCCACAAACTGACACGTAGTTTAACACCCAAAACGTGGAAAGGCTAGGTGAAGCCGGCATTACCAAAAGGCGTCAGTTTGCACAGATTATAAACGATTGGTGTATTGGTATATTACAAGTGAATTAAATTGAATTTAACGTTTCAAACAGGTGGCAATACTCTTCAAAATCCTACAAAAATATTGCAAGTTTCATCTAGATAATTCAAATCTACCGGCCAGGTTCATTAAATTGACATCTCGTTTTTTGAACTGCCTTCACGTATTACTTATTAAACAGTACACAGTTATGTACTCCTCCGTTTGATATTCATATTTAATTAAATTCCACCTTTCAAATAAGTGTTGCCACTCTTTTCAAAATTATTTTCAAACTGGAATCTTCTTAAATCTTTTTCGTCTGACATTGGGATACATATTTCAATTAGTTGATGAATTAAGTTGAGTTTGATTTATGAGATACGTGGCAACTCTCGTAAATATGGCCGTATTTAGGGTGTTTCGCTTGATACACATCTTTTGGTAATTCATTTAAATTATTAAAAAGATTAAATTTAACATTTTAAACCGGTTTTCAACCCTATTCAAACACCCAAAAAATACTCCCCAAATATTTAAACTAAAGATCTCTTAATACTCTTTTGACAACCATATTTTAAGATATCATATAATTACATTTAATAAAATTCGGGCTTTAAGCAGCTGGCAACCCTATTAAACATATTTTCAAACCCTTTCGTCTGTCACCCGAATTATGATACATATTTCAATTACCAATTCAAGCTGAATTTTATTTTTCAGACATATGGCAACCCTCTTAAATATAGCCCGAAAATAAAGCCATATTGAAATAATTAATTTAACTTGTTAAATAATTTTAATAAGGCTTTTTAAACAGGTGGCAACCCTGGGTAAATACCTAGAAAATATTCTAAATTTTCAAATTAAATATTTCTTACCAGAATTTTGTTTTATACCCATAAATTAATATTTCATATAACTTTTAGCTTCAGTGTTGACCTCGTAATGTCTTGGCCTTTTCAAGGTAATCGATGTGAATGCCACCGCGTACATCCATGTTTCCTCCACGGTTACGGAAGGGCGCAAAAATACGTTCACATTTCGGCTCAACAGCTCCTAACACTCCTGTGAGTTCGCACACGGCTAAGCTTATGGACGAGTGTAAGCAATCGCGGCACACATCTGGCGGATGGTTTTTTTTATGCAAAATGTGATGCTACCCCCCAGCTGAGAGGCCTACAGCCTCAGCCATATCGGGCACTTTGCAGACGATTTCTGGCCTCACGACCTGATTAAGTTGATGGTGCAGAGTCCCCATAGTATTTATAAAGCTTTTCCTTGGTTTCGGTAATGCATTTTTAAGCAAAAAATAATCATTCAGCCTCATTGCGTAAGTTGTAAATTAGACTGAACTGTACCACTCGACAACATTGGTATTGCCTACTGTCGTGCTAAAATAAGCAAATGACGAAAATCGTCGAAAACTATCCGGTGCTTCCAAGTTTTTCTTTTTTAATACCCGAGTCGAGTGAAAATTTTAGGCAGTGCCATGCAATTTTCTATAGGTCTCGCCGCCGAAAAATGACTTGCACTCGACACGATACTCGCTAAAATTAACGAGGTTGTCGGCTTTTACTGGCTATCAAACATAAACTAAACGGCGCACCCTGCTCAAAATTTTACAGTGGTCTATTGATGGATTGCAGTTGACTGCCGCAGTGTTGCATTTAAAGTTACTGCGCGGGAAATTCAACAAGTAACTGACTTTTCAAATTGACCTACTATAATTGAGACATACAGGACCAGAAGGGCTTCTGATTCAATTTTCTATCTACGATTCCCTACTCGTACGTAAAATTAACGAATGAGTGAATTAGTGGCGTAAGACGATTTGCTCCGACTTCAAAATGGGAAAGTTATTAATTCGTCGGAATATTTATTTTTATTTTTTATATACCGGAAAACTTTGCACCACGTTGACCATTTTGGATGATTGTCTTTTTATCGGAAAGGATTGGTCCCATACTAATTAAGTTTAGATAAAGAAATAAACTGTAGGCACTCCTAAATTTTTTGTAAAAGAATTGAATTGCTTTTTTTTGCCTAAAAATTATTTGTGTCGCACATTGATCTAAATAGAGAATCTAGCGGGAAAAACTAATATAACAGATTCGGGTGATGGATTTTGTACAATACTTTGTATCTACTAGTTTACGAGGCCACTGATTACAAATCTTCAGTCAGGTTTCAAAAATCCAAAATGGCGGATTTTTTCTTTTTTTAATTGATTGAATTCACTCGAAACTTCTTACTCGGGGGGATTTGGGGTCGCTGATTATGCATTTTTAAATAATTCAAAATGGTGGATCCAATATAGCGGAATAATTTTTAAAAATTTATTGAACTAGCTCGAAACTTGTTACTCGGTCCTTTTTGGTAGTTGAAAGCGGGTTTCAAAAAGTAAAAATGACGGCTCCAATATGACGGATTTCTTTAAAAAAAAGTTCGTAGATTTAAATAGAACATAGTGCAAATTAGACCCCTCTTTAATTCAAAAGTTGGCTATATTTGTCTGCGTATGCGTAATTTATATGTTACGCAATAAGAATGTGTAAATAGATTTTTGGTAAAATTTGGCAGAAATTTTTTCCGCAATTTTCCGCAATCTAATAAAATTGGATTTTACTTATACTTAAATGAAGAGTTAATAATTTTTAAGATGACACGATTGAGCGTCGCAATTTTCACTACTACATATTTAGAAAAAAAATTAGATTAGAACAGCATTCATATCTCAAAGTGGACGTGCCTTCTTACTAAATATTCCTAAGAAATTATATTAGGTCCTAGTGTGGATTTGAAGAATTAAATTTTTAGTATTTCATTTTTAGTATTTCGTTCCGCAAGATCAGTCAATTCAGAATCTTGTATTGAAACGACTTCCGATAATTCTTTTATGGTTTTTATATAAAATATTTAATCTTACAGAACCGGCTTCGGATCTTGAAGAAAAAACTGTGCCCATTCAACAAGATCGGGTATATACATCCCATACATTAAGTTTAATAAAGCAAAAAACAAGGAAGATGGAAAAGTGAATTAAATCGAGGGAAAAGTATATACAATTTTATAAAAAAAATATAAAAAACAATAAAACAATAAAACAAACATGATAGAGCAAACCAAACATGATAGAGAAAACAAAAAAAATCTTTTTCTTAGTTTTATTTATTTCTTATCATAAAATTCACTAAAGCTTAAAGTACATTTTCTTTTTTAATCCTTAACCTGCAAGGAGCAAACAAATATTTTGTTTTTTGTTATGTTTTGATTTTTGCTTTTAGGTAAATGTTTTTAAATTTGAATTTTTTTTTTTATATATATTTTTAGGACAATCGAACTTATGGAATAAGTTTTACTTTTGTTAAAAGTTAAATTTGTGATTCTTTAGTTACTTAATTAAAAGAAAGTTTATACTTTGTTTCGAAGACTTTTAAAAAATCTAAGCTATTAAACACCAATTCAAAATTTAAGCGACTTAAACGAGCGCGCAAGTTAACAATGAGGGAAAAGAAAATTTTGCGCAGTGTGGCTCGCCAGATGTCAGTTACGAAATTTTGAATCTCTTTGTTGAAATGTAATTTTGGCACAAGCAAACAATGGTCAAAATTCGTACAATTTTTTATAGTTTTTTTTTTGTTTACAGTTAATATAACATACAAAAGTAGTTGTTAGTGGTCAGTTTTATACGTCAATAAGAAAATGTTCATATCTTAAATATTAATATTTGATCTAATGTCGCCTTTAACTAATTTGTGAATTTTGTTGATTATTATTTTTTAATATTGTTAATAACTACATTTTAAATTTATTTATTTTTTTAGAACTTTCTGCAACATTGATAGACTGTTAAGTAAGATACTTTGTTAATTTTTAAAATTATAATCCGAAAAATTCAGTATCAGTTGCTTTTTTTGCAGCTTTGTTCTGTTTGTTTTTTGTTTTACTTTGTAGTTAGTTAGATCAGTCATTTGGGTTAAACAAAGTATTTCAGAAAAATGTTTGTATAGAAAACTATTAGCAGCAAATAATTTACTTTAATGTTTTAACTAGTTGTAGGAAATAGTTTAAATTTATGTTTGTAAAATTTACTAAAATTCTTATGAAATTTTTTAAAAAGCCTAAAAAGGGGTATGTTTGTATGTATGCATCTGGAGCATTAATTACATCTGAAAAACATTAATTGTTTTGTGTTGTGTTTGCCTCATAGAGATTGTCCAGTAAAAATTTACTAAAAAGTCTGCACATTGTTTTTTTCGTAAAAAGTTTTTGCATTTCATAAAGTCCAACAACATTTATTTCAATATAAACATTTTTTATAACAATAACTTTTATAAATTTTAAGATCTCGTCTTAAAATAAATATTTGTTTGCCTTTTAAAAGTGTAGAAAACATCTTTTTGTTAATTTTTGTAAATTTATTTTTTTGTTCTTTTCATTTGGTAATTTTGTGATATATTTTTTTAGTTTCTTTTGTGAAGTTATTAATTTTGAGTCCAGCCCAAGAAAAATGAACATTTATTCTATGTTTGTGTGCTGTACAGCCGGTACTGGCGCAGTCGAATCGGGTTACTTATTGTACCTAATCTTTTAGATTTTTTTTTTTTGTCTCTTTCCTTTCCACACGGGAACTGACGGCAGTGGTATTCACTAAAGTGTACAATTTGGGGGCGTTGTCAGACTAATAAAAAAGCATGCGAATTTTTTGAAATTCCTTTTAAGTTCGTCATTAAAGTAAAACTATATTTCCCCCCGTTTTGTACAAAGTGAACGCCCTTATTGTTCGTCCGTCCGTCCGTGGTAAGATAACTTTGTATGTATAGGCTTCTACATAGCATCGCAAAGGGCGGTGAGTACAATTAGAAGATTTCAATGGCTAAGGCTTCTTCTGTATTCTATGAAACTGTCTGCCCTTTGCCGCCAATTCTTAGCTTCTTGGTAGATTCGATTCGAGAATCGATTTATGCACAAAAATTACTTTTTTTACATAAATTCAAAACTTATGCACATTTCTCACAACACAATTACGCTCTTTGCCTCTTTTGCTGTACTGCTACGTTCTTTTCAAATTTTTATGTAAGCTTTTTGAATTGTGTTCATTATACATATTCCATCTCCTATCGTCGTCTTGCTTTTCTTTCCTTTGTTTTCACCATTTTATTTTTGCAAGCAATATTCCATTTCATTTTCACCAATTGTCATCGCACATGGAGGCTGGACCGGCTGTGGCTTTAATAGTCCTGAGAACAACCTCTTGAATGCCAAATGCTATTTGGCACTCTTCTTCACACTCAAACTATGTTGCTTGCTTTTGACATCCGCCAGCGTGAGCACGCCTTGTTCCTCGAATTTTTTCCATTGCGAATAATTGATTTGCATGTAGGTGACCAATTGAGGCATGTCGATGAAACCTAGAATGAAAGAATAGAAGGAATGAAATATTGCCAGAAATAATGATTATCTACATATCGCTACTTAAAGGTGAAAGGGTGCGAAGTCCACTTTTTTTCAAAATTTAGTTTTTGATACAGAATGACAGATAAACTACATCGATTTTTTTTAATATAAAATATGTACATATACATATATTAAGTTAAGTTAAGTGCCATTTTGACCAGTTTTGGCTATTTTCCTTTTCTTTATTTAATGTTTATTATTTTTTTTTTACAAAAGCCTAAGGAATATAAACTTTGTATAAAAATTATAAAAATTCAACAAATTTTAGCAATTTCCGTCAAAAATTTTAAACTTCTTATTCAGAATTTTTAGAAAAATTTTAGTTATGCAGTTCTACAGCCCATTAAATTTGAGTAGGACAAAGTGCGACTTTCAAGAGTCGAGAAAAGTGCGTTGATATTTAATAATTTTTTTGGCTGAATACACTTTCAAGCATGATAAAAACATAGTTACAGTCAGTGTCAAATTTAAGTGCACACCTTGTTCTAATATAATACTCACAATTATTTTCATGAAATTTTTTTTTCATTAATTACACAGGCCAATAAAATTTAAGCAATGGTATTTTTTTTGTTTTCATTAATTACACAGATCAAGTGTTGCCTAAAATATTACAGACGATTCGTATAGAATTTTTTTCGTAGAATTCGAATCTGACCCTAATGATATAAGACTATCTCTAGTTTTCAAGCAACTTAGGTTTAAAGGTGCCGAAAAACGCGTTTTTGGACATTTTTGAGCCTCTGTAAAACAAATTGATGCAATATATCTGGCTGTGTGTGTGTGGAAAGCCTTAACATTGCCGTTTAGTACTAAAAATAAAAAAAATCAGATTCGGATTCTACGGAAAAATTCCTATAAAAATCGGCTGTAATATTTTAGGCAACACAACATTGTTGACCTGTGTAATTAATGAAAAAAAAGTGCATGAAAATAATTGTGAATATTATATAAGGACAAGGTGTACACTGACTGTTCATACCATGCATTGTTACTGTTGCAATGCATTGATGATTCGAAACGTTAGTGTGTAGAGGTGGTTTTTTTGACGTATGCTAAGAAATATTATTTTTAACCGACTTCCAAAAAAGGAGGAGGTTATCAGTTCGTCGGAATATTATTATTATTATTTTTTTTTATGTATGTTACCGCCTAACTTTGGACCACGTCAACCGCATCTTTTTGCATCGGAAAGGTAGTGTCTCAGAGGTGGTCCCATACTAATCTGGTTAAGATCCGATCAGTGGATCATGAGATATATATATATATTTTTTTTTTATATGAGAGTTGAAGTCGGGTTTTTTTGTGCGATATCGATTCGAAACTTGTCGCTAACTGGTTACAGAATCTCCCCCCTGAAAAGCTTCTTCATACGTCAAAGCATTTTTCTTGAATCCTGGATCGACTAAGGTTTAAACAGAAAAAATAATATTCCTCTGTTGCGATAAGTTCAACCGATACCCCGATATCATATAAATTCGCAATGAAAGTTTTTTCTAAACTTGAAATGCATATAATGGCAAAACTTTAATGTAAAGAATCGGTATCGAGTACCGAAAAGGAAGTATTGGGTACCGAAATCTTTTTTAAGTTTTGGGTACCGACAATTCAGCACATCACTAGAGAGCATTACTCCGCTAATCGCATGGCTATCAATATTGTAGAGCGCTGAGAAAGACTTAATGCCTATTATACAAAAGATTTCACCATTTGAAGAGTATCAAAGGTTGGTAGAGCTAAATAATATCATTCTTTAAAAACCGCATTATAGTCGGGATTGTAGACAACATCATGGAGAATAGTTTTATCTAATGAGAAAAATTCATAAACATCGACGTTCCATGACGAAGGTTGTGCAATTTTTTCTGTGTCTCAATGTATAATATTGCCAATCTTACTTGTAAGGAAAGGTTAGAAGGGTGACAAGCTGGAGGTCGTGGATAAGAAAAACTTAGCTTTGCGTCCACCATCTGGGTCTGACTACGTTCCGAAACATCCGTGCAGACGGGTAGCCCAGGATACAATTAGCGCATGAAGCACCAGTTTGATATGTTTCTCTCCCGAGTTTGCTTGGAGTGACATGGGGGATCGTTTTCTTACTACCCTCGATATTGCAGATGCGTTTGCGGCTGCGTGACCCGGAATCGCAGCAATTGTGTATGTTCCTTCTCGACCTACATTTTAAGTAGGCGGTCTTTCGTTTGGGTTTGCAATTCTTTGGACAGATTTGTCTATTTCCGGGAACCCAGCGAGTGATATGCCTTTCGAATCAGCCGTTGAGCTGCATACAACCGACTTTTTGCTTTTTGAGTTTTTCGTCGATGAGGCCAGCGACAAAAGCGCTACTTGACTATTTGTAAAGAAATTGCCTTATCTTATCCATTTTGGACCCAATGGTGTGGATGCCAATGAAAACCATGTTTACCGTGCCTCTTTTTAAGTCCCTTGTAGAAGGAAATTACATCAGATATCGTATTTTGAAATCAAATTATATAATCGAATTCTTTGCCTGGTCCTTCTAGAATACTACTTTGGCGATACTGCCCCGGGCTTCAGCCAACTGACTTCCCACGGAACTCCCTAATGTCGGTGACAACTGGGCAAACCTTAGAAGGCCTTCGGTAATGAGAAGACACGGGCGGAAGGCGTGCCTCTCAGAGAGTTGGAACAGCGACGATGAAGTATCAACCAATGGAATAAAATGATACGTTCACAAGCTGAACATACCTGGATATGTCGGGGTTTGCATGCATAGGAGTTTAATCTACTACAGTATCGAGGTCCCTACAGTAGTCGTGAAAAAATTGCTTGCTGATCATAAAATTATTTTCCCTGACGGAGGCATTGAGGTAAGAAGACATCCCGATACAGTCTGGAGTACGAACTAGAAGTCACCGATGACCCAACTGGCAAAGCGTAACTTCGAATCTCCGTCAAATTGCATTTTACATATATTGCCAACAACGATTATATGACTTTGCTCCAAGTCCTGTTGGTCAGTGATTTGGTACTTTATTGTTACCTTAAATTTTCGGGCTTGTAATCGTTGGTATTGGAGTGTAGTCGACGTGAATACCTAATTACAGCTTGACCTCATTTTTCTGTGTTGTGAAGACGCGAGAAACCGAGTGTAGGGGATCAGTGATCACAATGGACCTGCACGGTCTAAGTGAGTTGGTTATTTTGAACCAACTGCCTCACCAACCTCACTTAGGGGATCAGTAAAACTCCTCGAGTGGCTGAGAAGTTAAACAGTAGTAGGGAAAGGCCGCTACCCTGTGAAAATGTTTGTTCGAAGTTTTACCTCTAAAACTTCTGAAGACTATCGACTATTCAGGTTATTTGCCGCTCATCGTTTTATTTCCAGCGAAATGAAGGATGTTTCAATACCTTCTAGTAGCGTGGAGTAACAAACGGTGTCGATCGGCTTTTAATAAATCCACTGCTACCAAGACAGTTCTCTCAGAGTCATGAGTTATTTGAGCGTTTGAAGTGCTTAGTGGTGATGCTCACTTTACGTCTAAATTCTACATATCCTTTTTGTGGCGGTCAGAAACATGAACCATACAAGCACTGATATCCCGTGTCTGGAATTGGAAAATGTTAAGAGCCCATTTCTTCTCTGAGCAGTTCTGTTTAGTTTTTATTTTTACAATTCTGCCCGGAAAGATCATACCACAGAAATCTGATGGGTTCGTATTGGAATTTACTGCGAAAATCAGCAGAAAACCCCAAGGAGGTACCCGAGGTGATCTGCTGTTTTCAAAGGGAACAGTCGAGTGGCCAGGGGGAAAATGAAGCTCTCGCGGACGCATATCAATTAAGATTGCTTTTCCGAAAGGTTCCTCCTTAAAGGGGATACAATAGTGAGGAAAGCGAATGCGTCGATTTTAGTAAAAATTGCTTTACACATTCTTGTTTGTAAAAAAACGTTAGAGTGACATTAAGCTTTATGTAGTATCTTGAGCTTTTTTATGGTGCGATTTCTTTCGGAGGATGGTCATTACAAAAGCGCGTCGAAGAACGGAAACTAAATGTTCTTGATTACTTTGAGTGTAATTCGTCCTAATGGCAGATGGCTTTTTGAGTTTTGTTTTGCCATTGCCTAACCAAGATTGACCGCTATTAAAAACCATTTCTAATCACATTGCTGTTGTAAAGCATAGGTAGAGGTGGTAGGTGGTAGTTGAGCTTAAAGTTTTGAAGTTAAACAAATATTAGGTACTTACTATCCCACGCGTGCATCATGTCCTGTATAATGTATTCAATGAAACCGATCTGACTCTTGGGTATGCTACACGTATTCCTATCGAACATTGGCATAACAATCGGCAAAGCCTTCGCCTTCTCCTCATCGGTTTGGGTAAAGTACTCCTCGGCAATACGCCGTGCCCATTCAACGCAGTAAGAAGGTTGACGCGACGGATTACTCACATCCGCCACCTTAATCATCATGCGGCGAATAAGAATGGAACTCTCCTCCTCCGATTGTACGATCTAGAAAAACAATTTATACAATATGAAAGCATAACACAAAATTAAAAACAACTAAGCAAACAACAGCAAACTAACATCTTTGGGCTCCTCGTCCGAGCCGAAAATGCTAACAAACTTGGCCAAATGCTCAAAATGCCGCGTCATTTCCGTAGCTAAAATCATGTCAATCACAACGCTGCGCACCGATTTGTAGCTCTCAGAGTCTAAATTCTTAAAAATGTTGACTTTGTCATCACCTAAAATATGTAAGAAAAATTTTGTAGTCATTAGTTTGCTTGGAAGTGGTTGATTTTTGTTTCAATCCACTACGCACTTAATGTAAGCCTAAAGGTAATTGAAGCGTGATGCGATTCCAAGACGCACAGATCATTGTAGAGCAGCGCTAGCGTATTGCGCGAGTTACAAAGGAACGCCGAAGAGCGACCCGGATGATCGACATCGTGCGCTGCAGCAGCAATTAGCGCTATGGCCTCATCAGTGTGATCCATGCCCATGTCCTTGGCAGCTAGCTGAGTAAGAAAACAGCCAGTGGCCTGAAAGTAGATGGCAGAATTGAAGTGTTCAATATTCGCTTGAGTGGATGTGCTTGCAGGATTTGGCTGCATTAGCCGCACGGTGATAATCACCTGCATAACATCGGCGGCATGTGTGCTATTGTGATATGAATTATTTGCATGATAATTGGCCTCAATAACTGCTAGCCAACTCTTGCAGACATTCTCATCGATATTGAGCGTTGCGAACACATTAAAGCGTCGGAACATTTCCATGCCCAAATAGAGGAGCGGACGCTTTTCGGTGATTTCTTCAAGTTTGAAAATATCAAATTCCCAACTAAGAGATTCTTCAAGTAGTTCCATGATGTGTGGTGTGGCCTGTGTTGAGAGCGAATTGAAGTTATAGTTAAGAAAATTCTATAAACAAAAATATGTATTTATATATGTAAGTAGAATGTACCTTCATTTTGGCTGGCATGCAAGTGGATTGACGGCCGCCTACACGTATGATGGAGTCATTTGAGCTGCGTCGTGATGAATATAGGCTGGGACCCTAAGTGAAATGTATTGGTTGTGATTTATGTAGTTACACCCTTGCTGTGCAACATGACACTTTTCTGTAAAACTTACCGTCAGCAACGCTCCTATCAGATCGGTAGCTATTGGATCATCTGTGCGTATTTCCTTCATTTGTGGACTATAAAGTCCTTCACGCTTCAAGAATTCCATCACCTTATCGATTAGCCGTGCCTCGTCCGGCGAACAATTCTCCTGTACTTGGGAGAGTAAATTGATTATCTACATAAATAGCGAGCGTAGTTGCATCGAAGGAATTGGTTGGTGGTTGGTTGAACGGTTGATTCATTGTTTGGTTGGTTCATTGGTTGATCAGTTGTGAGAGTATTAAACGAAAAATAAAAACGAAACCAAAACGAAAACAAAACGAACGAACGAATGCACAGGCGAGCGATCGAGCGAGCAGCGAGATCGAAATGGTGTTTTTTTGGTTGGGAAATGTGATTTAATATTTTTTTTTGTTTTAACAAAGAACCAAGAGAAACACACAAAACGTAAAAAAGAGAGAAAGAGAGAAGACAAAGTTTTAGAGTGCATTAGAAATAAACATTTGGCAAATACATTTTTAATTAGTTTAGTTGCATATTTCCTTATCGTCAAAAAAGCGTTAGCGAATTTTTTTTGTTAAATATTTTTGTTGCAGAAATGCTCCTAACTAGATGCATTTCTGCATAAAAAAATAAATATTTAAAAACCATTTCGCTTACATATTTTGGCGATTAGGGCCCGATATATCTACAAACATATGCTCTGATAAAAATTTCTGGCATTATATTTGTAATTCATTTTATTTAATTTTACGAAAATTTAAAAAAAGTGAAATTATTTCTGTGCATGAGCTTATTACTGGGCTGTTGCACTTTTAAGAGCGCTAATAATGTTATAGATAGATATGTAAGTCTACTGAAATCTTTTTCTAAAAATAAAATTTGTGCGCTATTTACTTAGATTCCGCATTAAAAAAAAACTGCTCAGTTTTCTAAAGAATTACAGTTTTTGCATAACTAAAAGTTATGCATTTCATGAAATACCTTCTGACTTTTATCTCCTATTCTTGTAAGGAACTTTTAATGCCATGTTTCAAAGCTATTACATTTCGCAGTGTAGCCACTGGACTGAAAAACTGTGTGAATTTTATTTAGTGAAAACTCCGCATTTTCCCTTTAATTGAACTTTCCTCCTTCTTTGGTGAAATCGTATGGAAATATTTTTGGATTTTTTCAATTCTACTCTTTAAATTTTAGAACAACCACCATCGACCATTGAAACAATAGCTATGATCAGTGGCGGTCCCAGGAATTTCCCACGGCGGGTTTCGTATTTAAGTTTTATCACCTATTTGATTTCAAGATAATCTAGTAAGACAGGGTGATGGGCTTCGATTTGGCACAAATTTTTTGCACAACCTAGTTTCATACTAGCCCTGACAGAAATGGGCTTAAAAATGTAAAAAAAAAAATTGTTCTGAAAAGTCATAGGCGTGGAAAATATCGATAAACAGTCAAGTTGGGTGAAGAAAATTCATTCATTATAAGCTTTTTTTGCTCTAATTACAAAACTCAGGTTTCTTGGAAAGAATTTTTTTTGTTAACAATCCTTAGCAAGTTAATTTTTTGATAAAAAAGAGAAAATATCAAATAAATGATAAACACCTCCACCCGAACATTTCAGGACTCTGAAAGAATTGATAACAGTTGAAAAATAAATACTTTTTTAAATGAGTTCAGCGTCAAATGCAACTATTTAAACTGATTAGTCGATAGCGCGCAGATTCTGGTAGGTCTTTGGAAATGTACCATTCGTAGGGAGGCGGGCTAAGTAAATGATGTGAAATTTTGTATTTACGACATCTACTTTTCCCTCTCTAAGTTCAACCGGTTTTTTGTAACAACTTTCACCATTACTTTTTGCCACCTGCCTCCATAGAGTCGAAACACTGTGCGCCAGAGAGAAAAACTGAAAACGCAATTTCCCTTTATATGGCCCCTAGTTTCGCGAGTATATCGATTTATTTGTGTGTAAAATTTATTGTCGCACGGTGCTACTAGTACGCAGAGAGCAAAACTGCTAAATTTTCTGTGAAAAAGCTAGAACGGACGATAAAATTTAGTTCATTTTGTAGCATTAAAAAAAATAATAAACAGGTAATTTTTAAGTAAAAAACAAAACCGACTTCAATTCTCATATAACCAAAACGGACGGGTTCACACTTTGTGTTTGATTTGTTTCAAATTTTTAGGGTTGAAGCATAAATAATAAATAAATATGAAAAAAAAACAAATAGACTTAATACTTTTCCAAATATCTCGAGAACGGGGCTTGAAAAATTTGAAAAAAATCACACATACACACATAAAAATTCTCTATGAAAAGAAATATTTTTAATTTTTTTTTTCTTGAAAATTTTTCACATACAAATTTATTAATAAAAGAATTAGTTTTTGAAAATATGCCATCTCAAAAAAATTAAAAAAAAATCACAATGGTAGCTCTTAGTATTGCGCGACATTTAAGTATAGTACTATGGGGTGCACTATACAATAATTGGGGTTACGATTTTTCTTTTTTCACTGAAGTTATTTTACTCAACTTTACATTACGAATTTAAAAATTTAAAAATTTGTTTTTAGAATTTTTTGAGCATGCCGTTTTGTAGCTCATTAAATTTTGGTATAATAAAGTGCAAGTTTTAAGCTACTGCAAAATGGCGTTGATTTTTAATATTTTTTATGCTCGCGGCTTTTTGCACTTTTTTCTTATGAAAGAAAATGAGCAAAACCGTTTTCAAAGGAAATCACAAAATTAAAGCCGATTTTGCAATCGGTTAAAACTTGCACTTTTGTATACTAAAATTTATTGAGCTACAAAACTGCATACTCAAAAAACTAAAAAAAAATAAATAAAAATAAAAAATATTCCGACGAACTGATAACCTCCTCGTTTTTTGGAAGTCGGTTAAAAATTTAAACAAAGAAAATTTTCCAATACGACTAGAAATATTTTGATATACTTATGTCTGACATTTTAGACGGAGGTCAAAACAGAGGATTGTCGATAACTTTTTAAACGACTTCGTCAGAATATTTTTTTGTTTTTGTTTTATGTATGTTACCGCATAACATTGGACCGCGTCAACCGATTTCGTTAATTCTTTTTGCATCGGAAAGGCAGAATCCCAGCGGTGATCTCATATATATATATATATTTTTTTTCTTTATATGAGAATTGAAGTCGGTTTAGTTTTTTTGCATAAAAATTACTTGTTGAATATGCCTTGTGTGAAACTATTTGTGTCTGTTTGTGTGCGCCTGTGTGTGTTTGTTTGTTTGTATTAGTAATTTAAAGCCAATTCGTAAATTTTTAGTCACTTAGTATTAATTCGAATTTCATTATTTCCAGACAAACTATTAAAGTGCAAATTTAAAAAACAAGTCGGACAAAAAAGCATTGCACTTTTTCCAAGCACACACACACACACACACATACATACTAAAAACAATATTTGTACGGTGCTGAATGAGCGGGTGAATTGTCAATACGACAGCACAACAAATTTACTACTTCAGTTAGTATAGCTACTACTAATACTACTCGCAATTGCTTTACTACGCAATGCAATACACATTTGAAATTTTTTTTCTTGCGCTTGTTAGTGTTAGTAATAAATCCTACTTTTGTAATGGGCGCCTCCAGCGGTAATGACGTCAACTTGGCCAGACTGGTACGCCGCAGGCCATCGGATGCCACCGAACGTACATCGACACTGCCACGGCGTATGGAGTGCTGAGAGCCGCGTGGTGCTTCTCTGGCTTGTGGTAGTGTGGCGACGAAGTCACCATGTGATCCAGGTACATCGAGATTAAAGACAAAATGTGTGGGTGTTCTGTGTTAAAAGAGAGTAAAATTATTCTGGTTATGTTGATTTTAAGTTTTGTTTCATAAATTTTCACGATATTTATTTTCATATTTTTTGGCTTAGACTTGCCTTAGCCTTGATTTAATAACATCGAAGATCAAAGCCATATGTAATTAAGTATGTTTGCTTCCGTATTAATTTACCTGCCAATACACGCCACTTGTATGACACGAACATGCATTGGAACATCTTCTTGGCCTTTGCGTCGCACAGTCAATATCTCATCGAATTCTTTGTTCTTGCGGGTGTGCATCATAAACGTTGAGACATCAGTAATGAATATATCCGTAAGCGGCTTGCTAATTATTTCATCCTAAATGAAAGGGTGAATAAATTAGTAAGTGGAAAAGGCAATTGGGGATTTATGTAAAAAGAAAATGGTGGTAAATATAAGCGCTTCAGCGACACATGATGAGTGATCTTAATGTGATCAAAGATCTCTAGACCCTTACTAACCTAACAACTTTTTGTTCCTAAAGTACACAAGTACACACTAAAAGGGTAACGAATTTTAACTCCTTACCAGACTCTTTTTTAAATCCAACTGGTTTGTAACTAATCCAGTCGCATAATTGGTTGGTTTAAGTGGTGGCAAGCAAGTAGCAAGTTTGCCATTTTGATTTCACAACTCGTGCAACCTACAGACATTTGGATGCTTTAACAAATTTCAGTACGTCATACAGAGAGAGGCAGCAGCACTCGAAAATATTCTGCAGGAATGGTTTGCCGAGTGTCTTTAATCTCATCTTTGCGCACAGCAAGTGTTCGACTGTCTCTTTTGAGGCCGGGTCATGCCCATGTCCACCGCGTGGGACACGTTCAGTGTGGAGCCGCTCCTTGATAGTTCGTCCGCTGCCTCATTTCCGTAGATGCCCCTATGTCCCGGAACCATATTAGGGAAACTTCGTACCTCAGAACTCTTAAGGGGACGCTCAAGGGCTGAAAATTCAGATACTGCAGATTCTTACACTTCGAGTTTTCGTCTACGTTAATTATCTGGAAGAAGACAGCCCATAAAGTGCTGACTTTCGTAAATAGCTTAAGGTTGAAGTAAATTTTTATAGGGCTAGGTCAATAGAACATATACATATGTATATGTATGTAGGCCGCAGCGCTATTCTTCTTTTTAATACATAATGATAACAATAGTTCTAGTTTCAACCTTAGTCTTAGTAGTCGCAGCCTGACAGTGCAACTCTTGCAATTATCTTTCAGATAATTAAATTAAGAAAGGAAAAAAAGCTTATAAAAATTATTTTAAATTTAAAACTATATATTTTTCTTTTTAAAACGATAAAATCTTAAAATTAAAGGAAAATTAAAAAAATTATAAATTCCTTATATTGAAATCAATTAAAAACATAGCTTTCTTTCTAAAATAGTAAAAGTTTAAAACTAAAATAGTTTCTAAAAGTTAAAAAAAAATGTAAAATATGTTTTTCTTTTTAAAACAATAACAACAATAACATCTTAAAATGAAAAGAAAATTAATATAAAGACAGGGGAAGAAAAAAGATTTAAGACAAGCTTTTATTAGTAATTAATAAAAAAATAAAAATTTACCTCTGCACTACTTAACGGCTAAACATTTTTTATCGTGGAGTTACTCCGTTTCATTTAAGTAAAAATCGGACCCTAAATAGACTTTTTCAAATATCTGAGCACCTGCGCCATCTACCGGATTAATTAATTTTGCATTGTCATCGGGTTTTGAGCCAAGTTAGAAGTTGGTAGATTTTACTGCACACAGGTGTGAAACCTAATAAAAGCATGTAAAAAGCCCTAGGATTCGAACCTCGGATCTTCCGAATAGTACGTCAGTGCTTTGCTCTTTCGCCCATTGTGACTGTTGGAGCCGCGCGAGCAAAATGATCACATCTTTATTTGGAAAATGCTCAAGTACTTTTTGTCCAAAGAGATTTTCATTATAATAGTTTGGAAGGGAGCTTTTTATGTAAGACCTTCGTGCCAGAATAAAGAAAGTATTTCAAACTATATTGTCTTACAAAAGACTTGCAGCTATCTAAACCAAAATAGCCCTGTTAGTCTTAACCTTAACCTTTATCCTCAATATCAATATGTCGCCGATTTATACCTATAGGGAAGAAGGAAGAGAGATCATCTCTTGTTGAATACAAAGTTTCACATTTTTTGATTGTTTTTCAGTTCACTGTCGCCGTTTAAAAAGCTTTTCTTCAAGAAGGAAAACCTAACTGCTGTTGACAAATGGTATATTTATGTGAAATATGTTGATTTCTATATACATATATATATTTACCAGACGCATGTTGAGCAAACGTTCGGCTGCCCGATTGGCATATTGTATGCGGAGGTGGTTGTCTGTGATGAGGATGACTTCCTTAAGTCGATGCAGCGCAGTGTAGAGGGCCTGTTGATAAGAAAAAATGTGAATGATGAAAGTTAGTTATTATTTTTAATTTCTAATAATTTTCATATTTCATTTGAATACTAATTGCCATTTATGGTTTAAAGTTTAGATGGAAATCGTTTCTAAATGTTTTGCTTTAATTTATTTCCACTTCATTAGAAATTCTCGTGACCTTCATTGCTACATACTTACTTGCTGGGTTGACATGACGTTGTGTGGCCGCACAATTGAGTGCAGGACTTGCTTTAGCTCTATGCTGCACATTGAAAGATTTGTGGTCTCGGGAACGCACTGTTTGTGCAAAACCGCATCCGCAACGATGGTGAGTAATAGTTTTTGTGCGGATATGTGGTAATGTAAATTGAATTCCGTGGTAAAAGTGACATCCGAAAGCCCAGCGGGTGGTGGAAGAGTTTTCAAAAAACACAAAGAAACATAAAAGAAGAGCGAAAATGTAAGAGAAAATAGTTAATGACATTGATGTACATATGTATACGCACATACATACATTTGCAGTCAATGGCTAGTAGTTATAGTCAAAACAAAGTCATTTTGTCATAATGAGGTAACTGTCAAAAAAGCTGCAACTAACTTTAGAGTCGACTTTATTTCGTTTAAAACTACGGGCCAATATCTTGGAGCTAGTATTAAAAGTGCTTTCGATTGCATTCAATGTTAATTTACTAGCTGGCTTACCCATTGACATCTATGTATCTGCTCGTAACTTTTGACTTACCCTATTAACGCCAGCGTCTAATAGTGCGATTAGGAAATCATCCTTTTCATAGAAACTGAAAATAAAGATTGTAGTTGAGTGAAGAAAGTCAATTTAATGAAGCAACGTTTTCTTTGTAGTTGAAGGAAAACGAATAAAATTTTGCGGTTTTGCACATTAAGAAAGAGGCGGGCTCATTCAAATACACCTTTCTCGCGTTTTATAAACGCCCTCATACATACATACATAGTAAGCATTCGCCATTTTTATGTGCTAAGGGCAAAGTGCAGTAAAAGTAAGCACAAACTTTAAGCAACTCATTTCATTTAATGACAGCTTTGCGTCTGCTTTTTGAATGTGTCGAACGACTTGCAAGAAAGTATTTATTGTGTGGCATCTGGGTCGTTGAAATCTTACAATTCTTCATTTCAACAAACGAAATACAATATTGAGGGCTAATACGGTTGCATAAACAGCCATATTCCCCTTTAAAATGCGCATAAGCAGCCGAACAAATGCACGCAATTTTTAGGAATTACCCCGGAACCGGGGAATTTTTGATGACAACACTGGCTAAAAACGGCCAGCTGTTTTCTTTTGTACAAGTAAGCAAACAAAGCAGGCGAGTTTGGCATCCGCGGTAGCCGAGTGGTGAGAGTTGCATGCTACAAGCCTGTAGCTGCCAGGTTCGATCCTCGGTTAGAGCGATTGCGAAAAGATTTTATATTTTTATTACTTATTTTATTTTTTATTTTATTTGATTTATATATTTAGTTTTACTTTATTTTTGTTAAAGTTTTTTTTTAATTTTTATTTTACTATTAGTAAATTAAAATTTTTAGAGATAAATTTAATTAAAAAGTCAACAACAACTAACTGAAAGCAACGTTAAAAAATATGGAACTTATAAAAAAGAATAAAAACGAAATAAATGAATATTCTACTGGCCGTAGGACTCGAACCCACGACCTTGCGGCTCGTTAATCCGCAATACTGCCGTCTGTCAGGGAAAAACTATTGTGCGCATTTGTGTGCTAGTTTATCTGCATAAGCATGCCCGTCTGTCTCGGGTTTATAGGTTATACAATTCATAAACATTGAAATCTGATAAGAGTGGAACGAATTTTAAATTATATAAACTCTTGATGAGGAATTAACAAAATTTAGATTAAACCTTTAATATTTCTAAACTTTCGTACAAAGAAACCCCATATAAATCCGCTGAATTGTAAGTAAGTACGTTGTTGTAGTTAGGAAATCGAATGCAGATTTAAATGCGATGAAGGTTAGTAAGGAAAAAAAGAAAGCGTGTGTGTGTGGAACCCACTCACGGTCGAAGTGAAGTTTCTTCTTTCTATTATCCTCCAGAAGTGTGACAGAGTACAGGACAGCTCTGGATTTGCTACATACCAAAAGTGACGTACATCTTTACTGGGCTCCATAGCAAAACGGCGTCGCGGGCAACGAGTAGACCGACGGGCTTGTCGTAAGGGGGAGATTTGTCGGAAAACAAGCTGATAGAGGAGGTGCCAATTTCACACCAAGCGATTAAACGTGAGCTCGACCTATCCATGACCCGGAAGGCACAGAAGGCATGGAATAAAATGCAAGGCTGCAAGGTGTCCAGGACTATGTGCAAAGCATATGACATGAAGCCCACGAAATTTCTCGTTTTTCTTACCAGCGGCAACCGATTCCATTATACTTCCTTACATACGGCTAATAAAAGCTGATTTCAAAATTCATACTTGACTTGCGATGATTTTTGCTCATTTAGATATTTCTGTTAAAACAACCGATTAAGAACATCTTATTTCCTGCCTTTGGCTGGCAAAGCGGTGGATAGGTACGAACGGATTCTAGCATACCATTTTTTATATTTTACGGAGCACAGCTACGAATATGTAACTACGCAAATCCATATTTTCTAACGATTTCCACGGATCGATGGCAGAAGAAAGCAGTGTGGTAACAGGTTGATGGCCAGAGTCATAGCGGTTTGGTGGTTGAAACTTTTTCGCTAATAATACTGTAGTCAAAATCTTGAGTCTTGAAATTACACAAATAAACGCAGAGGCACGCAAACTTAATTTCGGCTCTCAGATTATAAATCTGTATACCGTTTTGTCAGATCAGGTAATTTTCCCAAGCTATTTAAATGTTTAAGGAAATCGACTGATAAATGAAATGTTCAATCATTTTTTTGTATAAAATAGAAGCAGAAAATAATGTTACTCATACGCCATATCGTACATGACCGTTGTGATTGAAACTAAACGTCATTCTCGTAGTGTTGTTCCCAAGAACGCTTAAAGAGTGTCTTCATAAGAACGAAAGTGAGAACAAAAATGTCGAGAACGTCCTCAAAAAGAATTACATAAGAACAAAATTCAGTTGAACATTCCTAAAGAGAACAAAATTCCAACAATACTTTCTGGAACATTTCTAAGAGAACTATAGTCTCCGGAATGTTCTGGCAAAGAAAACAACGGGAACAAATGTGTAAGAAACTTTTTCTTGAAGAAAAATTGGGGAACTAAAGTCTCAGGAGCTTTCTGACAGAGAAAGAAACGGGAAAAATTTTCACTGAAAGATAACTATGCAAATTATCACAACGAAAGAATTAAGATNTTTTTTTTTTTTTTTTTTTTTTTTTTTTTTTTTTTTTTTTTTTTTTTTTTTTTTGTATTTGTTTTCTTTTTTTTGCACACGTAATGCAAAATTGTGCAATAAATTAACAGTTCACCCTGATGATGAACAATCTGGAAGTTGAAATAATTCCTTTGGCTTAGAATTAGCAATCATGGTTCTAACTTTTGTTCTTTCTCGTTTTGTTTTCCTAGTAGAACGTTCCTTAGACTTTTATTCTTATTTTTTCTTCCTTAAAAACGATCTCGATACTTTACTTCTCATTTTGCTCCTATAAGAAACATTCTCGAAATTTTCGTTTACGTTCTGTTCTTCTTGAGGACGTTCTTCGGAATTTTGTTCTCATTTCGTACTTTTGAGAACGTTCCCGATAGTTTTGCTCGCATTTTGTTCTTTATGGAAACGTTTCCGGGCATTTTGTTCTCTTTTTGTTCCCATTCAAACTGCCCTCAATACTTTTCTTCAATTTGGTTCGTTAGGGGGAACGTTCTTGACATAATATTTTGTTCTCGTGATAAACTAAACCAAAACCGGAGCGCGTTCTCGGTCCCTGCCATAAATTGTAGAAATTTATTTGAAATTTCCGCTTAAGCTTAGAGGGTCACTGAAGCATTGATAATAAAGTTTTCAGTGCATTGATATACATACATACATGAAATAGCGTTTAATTGATATCAGACTCTTACATAGGTAAGCTCAGATAAAATTGATCACTTTATAACAACTGTCATCAAATTGTTATCAAAAGATAAAATCTTCTTAAGGTAGCGGTTCTGGTAAGAGCGAATTTCATTCGCGCAAAATCGCTTATAATGTAAGTATGTATATTGGTTTAGTGGCTTTCCGAAACCACAACATACCAGATGTATGCATTTCAAGGCCGAAGCGATGTCGCGCGAATAAAATTGGCTCTTACCGGAACCGCAGCCTTAACGTCAACCAAGAGTTCTTTGACTTCACCTATATATGTACTCAACCCTTCTTAAAGACATAGTAAAACCACAAAAATAAAAGCACAATACCAATGAAATACTTACACTTATATGTACGAGTATCTACATACTAATTGCATATAGCCAACTATCGCAGTGCGTGTCCTCCTTACGCACAGACTTTCAGCACACAATTTTCCGTTTTATTCAAGTTTCGTTGAAAACTAAATGCAACGCTTCAATGCACAATTTGCCTGTACACAAGAGTTTAAGACTGGGGAAGAGTGCAAGAGCCGAAAGACGAGTGAACGAAAGCAAATGAAGGAAGTTAGAAGGTTGAAGTGGAAGAGCAGTTATTTTAAAATTGGTATATCAGGATGCAGCTAAGTTTAATTAAACGTGTCCTTTCGCACACAAAACGGGATGAGGTTGTAGTCTTTTGTAGAGCATGAAGTCAAGGAATTAAAACAAGTAAGAAAGTCTAAGTCCGGGCGGAGCCGAACATTAAATACCCGGCGCAATTATTAAATATATGTTTTTTCACCTTTCCGAAACCTTCCGCTAGATGGTAAGCCGGGGTGTATCAATTTTGAGTAAATTAGCGCCCTTCGATTTCGAAATATTGAAGTTTCAAGCATTTCTGAAATTTACCGTTATATGAGAATCGGCCGTTATTTTAGTCCGATTTCAATAATTTTCAACGTTTTGCTGATATGTGGCAAGCACAATAACCACACCGAGTTTGGTGCAAATTGGTAGAACGGTTACCGATATACTTATATGTGATCATAAGTGGGCGGTGCCACGCCCATTTTCCAAAATTTTACCATAAACGTATTTCTTGGTAAAGAATTGTTGCAAGCATCAATTTTTAATAAATTAGCTTCAATATTTACTGATTTATCGAAGATGATGTATTTCTCTAAACTACCATTATATGGGAGGTGGGCGTGGTTATAGAGCGATTTTGTGCGAAGGCCAACAACTGTGCCAAGTTTGGAAGAAATTGGTGCAGCGGTTACCAAGATATACACATGTAACCATAAGTGGGCGTGGCTACGCCCATTTTCCAAAAATTTATTTTTTATTATTATTTCGTCTAAAAATTATTGTAAATATCAATTTTGAGTGAATTATCTTCAGTAGTTACTAAAATATCGCAGTTTTCGTATTTCTGGAAATTACCGTTATATGGGAAGTGGGCGTGGTTAAAGTCCGATTTCGCCCATTTTCAATACCAACCTACCTTGGATTAAGGGAAACCTACATACCAAATTTCGTTGAGATATCTCAATTTTTGCTCGAGTTATCGTGTACACGGACAGACGGACAGACGGACAGACGGACAGACGGACGGACAGACAGACATGGCTTAATCGATTTCTTTTTTCATTCTGATCATTTATGTATACATTTGTCTATATCTATCTCGATTCGTTTTGGCTGTTACAAACAACCGTTATGTGAACAAAATTAATATACCCTTGTGGACAAG